GTTGATTCAAGAAGAAATGCTCCTCTACACGTCTCTTGAACGGATTTGCACGACGCAGTCTCACCGTCGCCTTGTTCCTAAAGGTCCATGAGACCCTTCAAGCAGGTCACCTATCCCTAGGCCGCCGGAAATAAGGAAGCGATGCTACTACGCGATGCGAATCCACGGAACTCTTCTCAAATCGCTGCAACATTTGCAGAAATATTTCCGGGGTACAGATTGGTGTAAACTGTCCAAAACCATTCGAATAAGATGGGATTGAGTCCGAAGACGAAGATACCGGTGTTTTGGTCGATTTTTATCGCCGTGAGTCACTGGCCGACTGAAAAATTCTGATCCAAGATACAAGCGGTTGAAATTAGTTTTCAAAAGCGTTTCGACAGGACTCGGAATTCTGACGTCCGTTCAGCCGCTGCTTATAGAAGAGCCTTGTTTTGGCAAATTATCATGTGCCTCAGGGTTCACTTAAATAAGTTTGACTGACTGTATTGGCTAACAAGGAGGCCAGTGGTCGTGAAGTGGACCGGACCGCCGGAGAACTTTGACAAGCTGTATGGTATGTGGAAAGATCGAAATATACGAACTGATACAATGATCTTCATCCGTAGAGCAGCCGCTACCTTCTTGCACAGTCTTGAAATGTCTGCTCATTTAGATAGCTTCCAACAGCGCTGCCTTCGCAGCATTTTCAAATTGCAACGGTACCTTCAGATCACTGAGGGAAAGGAACTGATGTTTAGTGGCCTGAAAAAGAACTATCAGATGAACTCAGAGACCTATATCTGACCTCGACGAAACGGCCCTATAAGAGATTGGAGATCTTTTCAAAATTTATCCGATATGGAGACCACCGAATTACCGTAGACATATTGGATGAGAGTACAAAACGTGAAAGCACCGTGCAGTTCGTGCTGAACTTATGCGGCGAGGAATATCACCTTTGCCGCAGCAGTGAACATTGCCAAATATTAATCTCAGATATTATTTCTAAAGACCAGTCATAATTCTGGGTAATTCTGCTGCTTAGGCACTGCTAGCGTTTGGTGATGATGAAAAAACAACAACAACAACAACAGTATGCTTGTACAGTTTTGTTGACGGGCTGTTAACATCTCCAAATCAACATTTCGCAGCTCGCACCACCGCCCGCTGTCTCCCAGATGCATAGGTCACCTTTCAAGCACGTATGAATACCTAACTAACATTTCCATATATTGAAGAATATAATTAACTGGATTAACTAGTATAATTTCACGGTTTTCAACCATTAACTTTCCTTTCTTTCCACAGCAGAACTTTTGCGACATGTCTTCGGCAAAGCTCACCTTACGTAATTTGTTTACCCTCTTACCGGCGGCCGCCGTTCGGATCATGTCAACAGCTAGTTTAGAAAAAGGCGTTAAGGTGATTCACGGTTTCGGGAAGTTCGTTGCTTAGCGAATGTCCAACTATCCATTAGTTTCCACAGGCAAACGAATCCTCTCGTAGGTTCATTTCGTATTATGCAGATGCTTTTTATTTCGAATAGGTAGTCTAAAAATAACGTTCTCGATTCTCCATTGGGGTCTCGAAAAAAATTATTAAAACAGCGATATTCTATCATATCGTCAACGTATGAGCAAGGCTGTTGATTGATTTTTGTTAACTTTAGAGCAGTTCGCGGTTTCACCAAGAAGCGAAAGTTTCTGCTTCGCTTTTTCTACCCTGTGACGTAACCATGCTGTAGTTAGATGTGTAGTGTACTACCTGGTGTGCTTGCGAGCGAGCGTATATTCCTCATGGTGGTAGTGTCAGTGCCTCCTCTGACCTCTAACCATTCTCAGATACCCGTGCGCTTAGGCGATTGGCGGTGCCGCGTTTTCGACCACTACTAATCCTGCTGACCACCCACGCGACCGACTATGATTGGCTCCGTCACTGACCGATTGACCAACGAAACAGCGCCAGCTAGCGTTTGTCATTTTAGAGAGAGGAAACCAGCGGCGAGACCCGGATCACGCAAAAGTCAGACAGAGGACCATCCTCGTCGCAACAGATGAAGCCGGCCGCTGTCAGAACCAGGTCCGCTCGTCAAGAGCAATGGAGCAGGTCTACGCCAGAGCCGACCACAAAATACGACGCCTATCGCCAAATCCAAGCCATCACGGAAATGAGCAGGGGCAACCGTTCCACCGCGACGCCACTCAGCAGAGGTAGCGTTTTTCACTGTTGTTTTGGTGCTTTGCATGCTCAGTGGTTTGTTTCGTTTTTGTGCTGTCTTGCATCGGTGGTGGACCGTCAATCATTGTCTCTTATCGATCAAGAGTAGCTGCCTCTGATGCTACCATCTGACGTCATTGTCAAATTGGTGCATTTTTCTCACAGTTCCATCCACATGACGCAAAATTTTCACAGTCCGATGTGCATGACATTATTATAAATGCCATGGTGCTAAAAATTAATTTTTCTTGTGGTTACCTCCCCTATGAAAAACAAAATTGCTTGGTTCCATTTGGTTTATATCCCCTGCCCGATTGCGTCGAAGCAATGCCAGGTGCAATTTAGGAATTTCACAGTTTCATTCATTTATGAATGCTCATCAATTCTTTGGCTCTTACAATGCCGTTTCAGCTCTTGATCTCAACGAGATCTTGTGATCTTGTTTGAGATCATCCTTGCCGCCGCTCGCATCACCATTTACGTTCGGTATTCGCTTCGTGAGGAATCTGTCATCCATTTGTTGACAGTGATTCCACCATCTTAAACGTATTGTTTGCGGTCAACTGGTTTCATTCGTTTCGTTTCCCAATCGCTCTTACAACTCCTAATCCACACCTCAAAAAATTAGTTCCTCGCCTTTGCTATTCTTCTATAATTGCTGTCGCCCCTAGACAAAGAAAAAGATATTCAGAATGCAGGCTCTGTAGATGCGCAGATGGTTGGCGATGGTTGGCGATGGTTGGCGTTCCTATTTCTCCACAAACAGCTTAACTTATTGCTGGCTGCCAATACCAGCTCACAGCGCTTCAACTTATTATTGTGCCTCTATTAGAAACCAAAGCCCTGCTCATAAGTTACATGAATTTTG